TCAATTCAGCGTTCAACACAATCATTCCCAAGCATCTAGTAGACAAACTGGGCCTTTTAGGCTTAAACACTCCTTTGTACAACTGGATTCTTGATTTTCTTACCAACAGGCCCCAATATGTGCGAGTTGGAACAAATACCTCTAATACCATTTTCTTGAGCACAGGTTCTCCTCAGGTCTGTGTCTTAAGTCCGCTGCTGTTCACCCTGTTGACCCATGACTATTGTGCTAGGTTTGCCACCAACCATATTGTGAAGTTTGCAGATGATACAACAGTAGTGGGCCTTATTTAGGATGACAAGGTGGAAGCTTACCGCAAGGAGGTTGAAGGATTGGTGAACTGGTATAAGGAAAACAGCCTAGTTTTAAATACCGGAAAAACCAAAGAGATCATTGTTGATTTCAGAAAAGGCAGCCACAGCCACACTTCTCTGTGCATAAATGATTCACCTGTGGAAATGATTACCAGCATCAAATTCTTGGGTGTGCAGCTAACAAGTAGGCTGACTTGGTCGCTCAACAGTGAGAAACTGGTGAAGCAGGCACAGCAGAGCTTGCATTTTCTGCGCCACATGAGAAAGGCACATCTTCCTTCCCCTGTCCTGACCACTTTTTACAGGGGGACAATTGAGAGCATCCTGTCATACAGCATCACAGTCTGGTTTGGAGGCATCAATGCTTCAGACAGGAAGGTGGTGCAGAGAGTGGTGAGAATGGCCGAAAAGATCATTGGCAGTTCCCTCCCTCCCATCCAGGACATAGCACAGAAGCGTTGCTTGAGCAGGGTCCGCAAGATTATCTGGGACACTACACATCCTCTTCATGACCTGTTTTCCTTGTTACCTTCTGGGAGGAGGTGTGTGTCATGTATGTATTTCACTTTGAGGACGGGCAACTAAATTTCATTTTTGATGTGTGCCATTGTGCCCACAGTATAAAAATGACAATAAAGGTTATCTTATCTTTTCACACTTACAATCGTTGCAGCCTCTCCTTGGTCACGTGACCAAAATTTAGACACTTGGCAACTGACTCACATTTATTTTGCAGTCTCCTGAGCACATGTGATCCCCTTTTGCAACCTTCTGACAAGCAAAGTCAATGGAGAAGCCAGATTCACTTAACAGGGTTACTAACTTAACAACTGCTATGATTCACTTCATAACTGTGGCTAGAAAAGTAATAAAATAGGGCAAAACTCACCTAGCAATATAAATTTTGGGCTCAATTGTGGTCGCAAGTTGAGGACTGCCTGTACTTTATAATGTCTAAAATCGGTGCTTTTTTTTCTAAAAAAAAAAAAAAAAAGGTACCGGAACTCACACGTCATACAACCCGCCTTGCCTACCCTACAAGGTTCCATCCAAAAAAGGTGCTGGAACTCCGTTCTGGGCGTTCTATGAGAAAAAAAGCCCTGTCTAAAATAAAATATAAAACTGTTTCCTCAATATTTCGTTTTTGGCGTAATTTCACAACTCTCTTTTCCTTCTCTTATTCTTTTGCTTTCTTAAGATATTTAGAATTAATATTCTGGTCCATGTGCCAAAAATGGGCCAGCTAACTAACTTACTTCTATTTTATAAATTAAATGTTATATAAGCATGTTGTGTAAACTACATGCTTGTTGCTTAGGTATATGTAAAATAAACTCAGTAATCTGTGTGAATGTCAATACTTAGTTTTTCCTACATATAGGAATGTAGGTATACTCAGTGAACCAATTCTATTTTCCATTGAGATTCTTGTGAGTTAATAATCTGGTTAATTTACCTAGGCTAGAAGGTTTTCATTAAACATATTAATTTACAATTTGTGGTGGCTTCAGCATAAATCTGGAGATCAGGTATAGTATCATTATTGTATGGGACTTTTTAGGAATAGGAGAAAAAAACTTAACATTACTGAATATATAAATACTTTTAGTAAAGATGTCATGAAGTAACAACTAAAACAATTAAACCATTATTTAGCAGAAGTATGACTACATACCTCACTGCAATCTATAGTGCTCATTTACAAATTGCATTCTATAAAATAACTAAATATCTTTTGTTTAACAGGTATGATTTACATATTAGTTGGGTTTACAACTTGTTCTTTGGGAATTCTAGTAGTTTGGAGAGTGTTTAGGTGCTCAGATTGGGATATGATGTATTACTTTGGCCATCATAGTCTTTAACCTAGGTTTCTCTTTCCAGGAACTCCTTCAGTGGGTTCAACTGCTGTTCCCATAATTCTCAGTCAGTATGGGGCTGATAGGGATATGTAAGACTGGGAAGTATCCGGTGCAAATTCCTAGTATAATTATTTAAAAGATTCATAAAAAAACCACAGATATTAAATTCTAAAATGTTTCAGAAAATGAATGAAACCTAGCAATTGTTTTGCTCTTAAAAGTAGTTGCATTACTCTTGAGGGCTGATTTTCCCCACTATGAGGTTACACTTTGAAAGACTATGTCAATTAGTGGAATAACTAGAAAATATTACTGTAAGATATTAATGCATCCTTTAACCATGAATTGTGTTGAGTATATGTTCTCTATATAATTATACTGTTCAGATGTGTACTATATGCTTCATTAAACTTTCAGTTTGTTTAAAGGAAACAAAGTCAATAAACATAAGGTAAATAAATATACTGATGCTGATGACACTTATTGAGCAGCATAAAAGCGCATTACATAAATAATAAAGCTTACTTATTTTCAATCCACACTTGAAAAGTGCCTGTGCTTTAAAAAAAAGTGTTCACCATTTGTTGTGAACATCAGTTCAAATTTTTATTGGGGTATGTGCTTCTACATAGCACTGCTCAGTGTGGTTTAGCAATATGGTGATATACAGTAGTGGCCAAAATTGTGGAAACCTTTTGGGAAAAGTGTACAATAGAAATGCTACCTTTGGTTAAATTTTCACCAATTTTTCTTCTAATTTCTTTATAACTGTAGCTTTGTTCACTTAATAATACTATTTTACATTGCTTTCTGGGTGACTAGTCAACTCTCTGCACCATTACTTTAATTTTATTACGTTTTAAAAGCTGACTAAATGAAAGAGAAAAAAACCCCCAACCAACTTGATAGTGATCACATAACACACTGACAAATGTCCTCCTCAGTTTCAATACATGACATCAATAATGGAATCCTACTGTGATCTGATTGGCTCATTGCCAAAACAAGATGACATCTGATTGGCTCTCTAAACACTCATGCTCATTGGCTACAATCAGATGAAGGAAAGCTACCTGATATCAACCTAAGCAAGTTGTGCTTCCTTTTTCTGGTTATTTGGCTATAACTTTTCATAGAATACAGTACAGATAATTGAACAAACTTTGTTGCATTACATTCTTGATTAAATTATTTTTCCATTGATATATAATTTTATGGTACTACTCCAAAAAAAAGTGGTGTTATTAGTCATCAAACCTCAAAAAAGGTTTCCACAATTTTGGCCACTACTGTATAATGACATGGAAACCTACAAACCTGTTTGATGGGGATCATAATTCCAATTCTTTTTATATAACTTCAAAAGATTTCTGATTTGCTCATATTTTAAGGCTATTAAAAAAGAAAAATAGCAACTTCGGAAGATACCAACACAGTAAGAGACGCGTGCCCTTTAAGAACAAACCAAGTAGAGAAAACGGACAGACCGATAACTAGATCGAGAAGCGCAGAGCTTCTATATATATATAAACAGCCTTAAAATTTCAGCAAATCAGAAATCTTTTGAAGTTATATAAAAAGAATTGGAATGACTAGTAGAATCTCCTCTACAGATAAAGTATATATGCTATAAATGAGTCACATATTTTTCTTTGAACAGTTTTATTCCTGGGATTGTTATATACTTTCACTAAAGAATACTATTTAATAAGGCAGCATTCTCCATTTTATTAGCAACTAGTGGCATAATAGTGTGCCACTATCACTTCCTGAACAAACATATCCAGCTGTTTGCATAATACATTTATTTATGATGGATATAATTAGCAAATGTTGAGGGTTATGTGATACACATAACCATAAATTAAGTATGCAGAATGGATTCACATAACATGCTATGTAAAATAAGGATGACTAGTTTATGGGTTAGGTAGGGTTCACGCAAATACAGCGTAGCAGCCATCTTAATTTTTTAACAGCAGAGCCAGTTCTGGGAAAACCTGTTACCATTCATTTGTAGAAATATGAACACAAGTGCAATCTATGTTCTCTTATAAAAAACGAAGTACATTTGAATTGATAGCATCTTATGCATAGGTAGACAGCTTATTCATGTAATACACCATGGATATGCTATAACTTTTTTACAAAAAGTTTCCATAGTTAAAGACAATAGCTCATAATTCTGAGCTGGAAAAAGTGTTCTTCATAAGGAAATTTTAACTTTACTCTGAGTAAGTGCAATTGATTTCACTAGTATTTGCTGAAATGTAATTAACTCAAGAGTGACTGACTCCTGTCATTGGAAGTCAAATGTCATAAAATTTAATAATATGCTTCAAGAGAATAATTTTAAGTATGGAGACGTTTCACTGAAGAAAGATTTGCTTTAATCTAAACGCGCGCATAACTGCACTATTCTAAATTCAGATTCCTCGAGCTGGGACTGTTATTTAACAAATTATTCAGCGAGTCAATGAAACTAAAACCCCCGCGAACTGGATGGGTTCAAAAATACCAGCGATCTAACGATGATTTCTCATGTTATCTTTCTTCTATGAAGATCCTACAGAAGAGACGGTGATTCTTAGTAGAACTCAATATTTCAGAATATTTACTATGTAGCAGGATTGTAGATTGTATTTCAGGAATCACGAATTTTGCGCTCCGCTTTACGGAGGACTACACCTACGACAATTTGGATCTCAGAGCTCGACACTTAGGAACCGTACTAACTACTCGTCTTTCCTCCAGAGATTACTGTGCTCCCAGGCAATACCGTAAGGTAAAGAAACGGTGCACAAAGTGTAACTTCCCTGATTTCCCTGTCATTTTGCGACACTTAAGATGGCTGCCTCCATGAGATTAGCGTGTGCCGCTTCGGTACCGGGAAGGCTACTTAGAGCAGAGTTTCCACCCCGCCCCCCGACGTTAAGGAGTTTATAAAGCGGCAGTAGTGCTAATTCTTCTCTCTGGTAGGACGAAGAAGATTCCCAAGAAGGAGCAGAGCAGAAGCGTAAGGCGCGCATAAATACGAGCGGAGAGAAGCAAAACTATTAAGAGGTTGGAGGACCGGAGTAAGACTTGATACTGATGATCAGACCTATAGCGGGTCCTGCTTGTTTGTTGTACAGATACAGTTTGGGGACAGACAAGTAGCAGCAAGAGCCACGTGAGTGACTTTGGCTTTCTAGAAGTAATGATGCGCCCCGTGTTGCTGTCACCTTGTGTTAAAAGTTGCTCCCGGATACTTGCCCAGTTCTGGGCTGAAGGAGGTGGAAAGCCCAGGCAGCGGCGATGCCTCTTCTCCAGTTCTCCGTCGCTTTCTTCGGCTTCCTATTGGAGCAAAGTGGTTTCGGAGGCCGAGAAAATTGTGGGCTACCCGACCTCTTTCATGAGCCTTCGGTGCCTCTTGAGCGACGAGCTGAGCAACATCGCTATGCAGCTGCGCAAATTGGTGGGAACCAACCACCCCTTGCTTAACACGGCCAGGTAAGCGTTCAACTGATCTTTGTTGGCCAATATATTTCTAGTAAGCTTTTGAAGGAATTCTTTTTTTTAATTATTATTATAAATGTTTACAATTTTACAATAAAAACCCCTTCCCCAATCCCTCCCAACCCACCCCAAAACCTTCCCCCATGCTTCCCAGAGCTGAATACAGAGTTAACTAGAACTTAAAGGAAAAAACTTTTAAACCCAAATAAACCTTAAACGAGTATAATTACATTCAGTAAACAAATTATTAAATACTTTAATTCCATTATATATAGAACTTTTGAAGGAATTCTTATTACATCCAAATGCTCATATTCCCCTCCTCCGACTTCTATTAACATTCTAACTATTAACACTGCCTGCCATAATTAGAACTCTTATGCTATCTCAAACTCCTTGTATTTCTTTCACTGAATATATAATACTTCCTTATTTAGAGTCTGATTATTGGTCTACCTGTTTTGACTGACTGGCTGTCTGAAGTCATTTTAAATTAGAGTTGCATGAAATTAACTCTAGAGCAAGATGTTATGTTGCTTCTGAATGTCATGCATGTTTTAGAGTAAAGAGCATTAAGATATGCTAAGTTCCTGATAAGATTACAGTCTGGTACAGAGGTTCATAGGGAATTAATTTTATCAAGACTTTTCTGCTGGAGATTTATAATTTTGTTGCCTCTCTCTTTGAAAAAATAAAAAAAAATGTTCACATGATGTGGAGAGTTGGCACCATGTGATTTTTTTGACCATTGGAACTGCATTATGATAATACTGTTAATTTGCATGCATTATATTATTTACACTGACTCATCATTTCTATCTGTTTATTTTATGAAATAGATGGGATCATGCTTTCATTTACTTAGAATAGATTTCTAAAATGCTGATATAAATAGTTTGGGACAACTTCAGGTAGTCCTCAGTTTATGACCACAATTGAGCCAAAAATTTATGTTGCTAAGTGAGACAGCTGTTAAATTGCCCTATTTTATCACCTTTCTTGCTAGAGTTGTTAAGTTAGTCACATGATGATTAAGTGAAACTGGCTTCCCCATTGACTTGTTAGAAGGTCACAAAAAGAGATCACATGATCTTGGGACTCTGCATTCATCTTAAATATGAGCCAGTTGTCAAGTGTTCAAATTTTGATCACATGGCCATAGGGATACTGCAAGTGTTGTGTGATAAATGGTCATAAATCACTTTTTTTCACTGCTGCTGTAATTTGAATGATCACTAAATGAATGGTTGTAAGTCAAGGACTACCTGTATTTTCCAAAGATAGGTATGATAATAGTGTTACTGCATCATAAAGGAATTTATCAAAAGTACCTTTAATGCAGGGGTGTCAAACTGCCAGCCCATGGGCCGGTTTCATCATACCGGAGCCGCGCCCACCCCATTGCCGGCAATGGTAAAAAACCTCCGATACGTCGCGTGGCATCACATGACGTCGCGAGTTTGACATGCCTGCTTTAATGTATAATATAAAGAATCAGTAAAAATATAGGAACTAAGTACAGTGGTTTCAAAAAAACGGAGAAAAATACTATTTCATTCTCTAGCTTACGTAGGTAAAATCATTTTATAAGGCTTTTTTGAAATTATTAGTGTACCAAATATATTTTGACTTTTATAGGCTTCAGTGGCATTTCTACATATTTGGATTAATTTCTCAGGAAGAACCATGAAACATAATATCGAGACTACTAGTACATTCTAAGGCAGTGGCCCCCAATCTTTTGGGCACCAGGGACCGGTTCCTTGGAGAGAGGTTTTTCCATGGACTGGAGGAGGCATTTCATGTGCTGCCTGCATCCCGTAGATGGGTTTTCGCTTGTTTGCGTAGACTGGTTTTTGGCATGCCAAGATTGGTGCTGGTCCATGGACTCGGGGTTGGGGACCCCTGTTCTAAGGAATTTGATTTAAAAATATATCACTGAAAAGTAAAAATATTTGGTGATGCTCAGTAATTTGTTAATATAACCATTTTGGAAAAAAAATGTTTTATTTGATTCAGTATAATTGATTAAAAGCAGTGGTGGGATTCAAATTTGTGAACAACCAGTTCTCTGTGTGGATGCCGCTTCCAGAAGTCCATTCTGGGCCTGGGCAACAAAAAATTAGCTACTGGTTCTGCTGAACTGGTGCGAACTGGCTGAATCCCACCACTGATTAAAAAATAGCTGATGACCCAATGAATTTTTCTATTCCTTAGCATATGTTTCCTTTTGTCAGTTAAAATGGGTAGGTATGTAAGCACCACAGAATTCACTGTTGGTCATTTCTTTTTTCCATTGTAATATCTTATGTGGAGAAGTATAGAGTTCTCAGACAAGTAATGACCAAAGGTTAGCCAGAGAGATATTTTCAGGATCTAATAAAGTAAAGCAAAATAGTTGATAAAATTAAGAGAATGTAAGCAGTTATTGGAGGGCACTAATTGTAAAGTGCTTGCTCCTCCCCCAATGGATATTAGTGAATGTATTAGTATTGTTTTATATTCTGACTCATTGTATTTTCTTCATTGGTTTGCAGTTTTCCCATGTTCTTTAGCAGTAGATGTTGAATGTGCTAGTATTGTTTACATATCTCTACCTCTTAACTGTGGAATATTACAATTCAGTCATTAATAGATTAGGAATCTTAAAATTCTTACTAAAATAACTAGCTTTCATTTTATAAAAACTGTTATTGAGGCCTTACACTTTCTTTAACATTTAGAATGCTAAGTTGTATAAGGTAATTAGTATGAATCGCCTTCAGTTCTTTAAATGTTTCCTCTAAATATCTGTATACTATTATAATCAGACCAGAGCAGAACTGTTATTAATTTTCTGTCTTTAAAAGTTAACTCCAATTTGTCTATGGTGAAGGGTGGCTGTGCTAAATTATTTGTAATGTATTTTGATACTTATATTTCATCTTACAGTGGAATTTTAACCCTCTTGCCTTGTTTTTGTTTGCTATCATTATTGTAAATGGCCAAGAATCTGGTGATTGTGGCAGGTGTAAATACTGTCAATTAGCAGGAGGTGTGACAAAAGTGCCAATATTGGACTCATCAATTTTGATGAACTATTTGTTGGAACCTTGTTGGAAGATATAATAATGTATAGCAATACTTCTGGAATTCAAATGTAGCCTGGCCAACTAGAATTAGGTAGGTATGCATGGATATACAATTTTTGGTTTAGAATATAAAAAAATAAACCTGTAGTTATTATATATATATGAATCACTGGATGAAAAGAATAGGAAGCCTAGGAGATGCTTTCTGAATATAGCACTGTTTGTATCTTTCCAGGTAGCTTCTCCTGATCTTTTTGTTGCTTAGCAAAAGTATGTCTCACTGTGGGTGGCTCTTATACACTTGTTTCAGATTTCTGTGTGGGATTTCAGCAGAGTTCTATATAGGTGCTCTACAGTGTTGGTCCTCTTTCATTCTCTCTCTATGACTGTTTTCTAAAACAGCAAATATGGGTAGCAGATTCTGTTTTTTAACTCAGCCTACCAAGACACTTTGAATGGATTGTACTGGGTTTGTTTATAGGACTGTGTTATTCACCAAAGAATTTGGCAGCTACTATATCAATATATAGCAACATAATTCTTTACCAGCCCAATTTATATATAGGATTACATAGCCACCAGAGAGAATATTTGAGTACATTGTAATAACAGTATTTGTCTCAAATCCATGTCAAGAAGATGCTCAGATGCCATAACTCATTTGCCCTGAAGATTTGTCTACATTCTGAGCATGATTTAGTTGGATTTCATTTTAATGCACAAATATATTTTGGTTCATGTGGCAATTGTGAATTTATATATTGACACTATATTAACATTTAATGATCCTAATTTTCTGAGTCTTGCAATACTTTGTTTCAGAACATGATTTTCTAGAGTCACAACATTTCATTGGGTAACCATACTGATTCAGCCATCAGCTGCACTAGCTTAGATTTAACTTGGTATTTAGATATATGAATAGTTAAACTTAGAGAATTCTAGAACTTTTAAGTTTATTTGAATAACATATGTCATCTAATTTTGCCTTGCATTCCATTCTTATCCTAGAGATTTTTCAGATTTAACAAAGTTGCTTGAGGTTTTGCAGTTCTTTTCTTATGATAGCTGGGTATGGTTTTTCAGGCAAATAGCTCAAGACTGCTGGCAGATACTAGATTTTTGTAATAAAGTGGTTTTTATATTTTCAACTTTTCCCTAATATTTATAATAAACTTAAATTTTGCTTTTCTTTGTGGTGCCTCCTCAAACTGATACCCTTGGCTAGTTCAATCTGTTTCCAAAGATCTTATATTTACACAGAGATTTGGTGAATTCAATGACTCACATGGGATTTATATAGCAATAACATACTGGTATCCTTGAGAAAATCTATTAAAATTGCTTTTGTCAAAGTAAGATGACCAAGATGCAATGCCAAGTGAAGAATAGAAGAGGAAGAATGGGAATGTTGAAGGGAACAAAGTCAGCAAAATATTTGCAAAGAATATAGCCATTCCTCAGGTAGCAATTTTTTTAACAAATATGGTAATAATAACATTTCCAGCTAATGTGTGCTCTTACAACTAAATTTCTCTTGGAGTGAAAATAATGCTGGCATAACTATATAAGACAGTGGTTCTCAACCTTTCTAATGCCGCGACCCCATAATACAGTATCCCATGTTGTGGTGACCCCCAACCACTTATACATCACTGGGTGCCAGGGGCGTGGCCAAAGAAAAGGGGGAAAAAATGGCGGACAGCCTTGTTTGGTGACCCCTGTGAAATGGTCGTTCGACCCCAAATGGGGTCCCGACCCACAGGTTGAGAACCACTGATATAAGAGAACTTGATCTGAAAGCGACATCAGGAACCAGCAATCTTTTCTGCATCTCTCTCTGTCTTCAGTTATGTGGTTTGCTTAATAAATATTTCACTTAGTGACCATTTTACTTCTGTTTTAAGAGGATATATACCAAAC